CAGATGACCTCCTTCTTGTACCCTCTTCTTATAAGGAGACCAGTCATAATGGTTGGGAGTCTGCTCTAATGACCTCATTTTAACTTAAAGACCTTGTTTCTGGGTCTTCTCTGGCTGTCCAATGGTGAAGACTTTTCTTCCAATGCAGGGGGCGTGGGTTAGATCCCTAATTGGGGAACTAAGATCCCACGTGTGACATGGCCAAAATAAATAAATAAAAAGACCCAGTTTCCAAATACAGCCATATTCCAAGGTACTGGGGCTTAGGACTTCCACACAGGAATTTTAAGGGGACACAATTCAGCCCATAACAACCTCCCTCTTTCCCTCCCTCTTCCCAAGTCCCCAGTGGTGACATAATGCTAAAGAGTATTAACTCTGGGCCAGACAGCGTTTTGACCTTGGACAAATTAAATGCTCCTCCTCAGTGTGCTCATCCGTAATAAAGGACTAAGAATCATATCTCCGACTCCTTGTGACCCCATGGACTACAGCCTGCCACGCTTCTCTGTCCATGGGATTCTCCAGGCAAGCATACTGGACTGGGTAGCCATTCCATTCACCAGGGGATCTTCCATACCCAGGGATTGAACCCAGGTCTCCTGCTTTGCAGGCAGATTCTTTACCATCTGAGCCACCAGTGAAGCCTATCCTATTACATAGGGTCATTAAACGGGTTAATACATCTAAGGCCCTTAGAACAGTGTCTGGCACAGGGTAAGTACCATGTAAGTGTTTACTAAATTAAACGTTAACATCAAAAACTCATTTTTACTAAAGTGTTAGGAGAGTGTTACATGTCAATCTCCCAAAGACTTTGCTCTTTCTAGATGATACTCATCATTAGTGACCGAACCGTCAGTTCACAATAGGGACCCCTTGGGTACTGGGTTTACCAAAAAGTTCATTCTAGTTTTTCATCACATCTTACGGAAAACCCAAACGAACTTTTTTGCCAACCCAAAATATTTGAAGGTGTGGGCCCACCACCTTCTTCAAAGCACACTTTTTGACAAATACATGATTTACCTTAAAATAGCAACATTAGCCAACATTTATTAAGTGCTCACAGTGTGCTGGGCACCGTACTCAGGGCTTCCCGGTATGATCTTATGAAATCCTGTAAGGTAGGTACTATTATCATTCCCAGGCTCCAAAAAGCCGCATCTCAAGGCCAAGTTCCCCAGTAAGTGAATGATGGGCCCACTCAAAAGTGAGACAGTTAGGGATTGACTGTCACTTTCAGAGTGTTGGGGGAGAGAAGGACGTCTTCCCTTTTCCCCCTCTTTTCCATCACCCCCTCTGCTGGACAACACGTCCACAGTCCCCATGGCCAAGACTGCACTCTCTCTACTACAGAAAACATCCAAGCTGCTGGGACTCGACCCAGCGCCACCTCACAAGCCCAGCATTTCGAGGGGCACGCTTCCAAACAGGGTAATAATCGTCCCATTAAAATTAATGTCCATGAAGTGAGCCGTTAAAAGCGTGCAGATTAAAAAGGGGGAGGAGGAGGGAATTGTTCAATTTAAATCCAAAGGGCTTTTTAAATAGACACTGTATCTTCATTCTTGGAACGCTACATTGGGCAACGGATCCGGTCCCCTCTGCAAAGTCTAGCGGGGATTAAGGAGGTGAGTCCCGGGAGAATGGGGAAGTGGTTCTGGCCAGAAGCAAAAGGAACCAAGGTTTATCCAGGGCCCGCTGCCTGCCAGGTGCTTGGCACACATTTCTCTCATTTAATCTCTGCCCCAATCCTGCGAGGGAGGTATTATTATTCCCAGATTACAGGGGGCAGTATAAAACCATGGTTAAGAGCTTGGAGCCTGCAGCAGACTGCCCTCATTTAGATCCAGATTTATTCCTCACTAACTCTGTGATCTCCTGGCAAGAGCCTTTACCTCCCCATACCTCAGTTTCCTCATCTGTAAAAAAGGATAGTAATAGCACATTCTTACCACCCTAGAATTGGGAAACTCACTTTAGGCAGTGTAGACAGGGGCCCAGTAACCTACAACAGAAGGCACTCAATAAGTGTTGACCAATATTAACGGTAGGAGAATTGGGGCCCAGTGGATCCAAAGATGAGCTCAGTCGTGTCGGATTCTTTGCAACCACATGAACTCTAGACCGCCAGGCTCCTATGTCTATGAGATTTTTTCAAGCAAGAATCCTGGGGTGTGTAACCATTCCCTTCTCCAGGGGAATCTTCCTGACCCAGGGATGGAACCCAAGTCTTCTGCACTGCAGGCAGATTCTTCACCATCTGAACCACCAGAGACGCAGCGAGGCACCAAGGTCACACAGCAGAACTGGGGTATGAGCCCGGACCGTGCTCCAGGCCAAGGGGAAATCTCTCCATGATAAACCCAGACCCAAACTAAGCTCACAGTCCTGAAGAATCTTTTTCAAGTGACCGAAGGACTTGTCAGGCCTTGGCAACACTCTGCTCCTGGGGAGGAGACGATGCAGCTGCCTCATCAGGACCTAGAAGGCCAGCTTGGAGCTCCCCCAGTTTTCTGAATCCCCGTGGATTCAAGGTAGGTGAGGGTCTCATTCTCCCCCAAAGAAACCGCCAAGGGCCCTCTCGCCCATCTGTACCCTCACCAGCAGACACAGATCCAGTCTGGAGGGACACAGGGGCAACTCCAGGATTGGGGGATAAAAAGAAGCTGAAGTCTGCGGAGCCACCGCCCCGTCCCTAACCCCTTAGTCTCTATTGCGCATTAAATGGAGATCACTGCTACAGACTAACCCCGGGCAGGAAAGTAATACTGACAAAAGAAACACACGAAAATAAGTTTCCTTCTGGAAGACCCCTAGTGAGGGTCTTTCTCGGGTGGAGACGCGGTGCGCTGCAAACTGCCAAGGCTAAAGGCCAACCCCCAGCCCTCCCCACTCCTCCATTAAGATTTCCAGCGGAGCTGGGGGCGCTTTAGGGTCCCCGCGGCTTAACTCTGATGGGGGTGGGGGTGTGTGTCGGGTGTGTTTGTATCCGCAGCCTACAGGTGCGGAGTCAGACCCCAAAGTAGGCAAGCTGGATTGGATCTGACTCTGAGGAGATTCTGAACCGACCCACCTCTCCCATACAAAACAACAGCTTCGGAACAATTTTTTTTTTTTTTTTTAACGCTGCCGAATTCGACATCAGCTTCATCCAAAACGGCAAACAAGCCTGTTCCCACCGCCAAATTGGAATCGGAGCTTAATTCGGGAAAAAGAGAAGGAGAAAACCTCCCCCGGCGCGCCATGCTTCCTTGAGGGTCTCCTGCGACCCCTCCAGCCCGAGACCCCAGCGGTGCTTTCAGGCGTCCCAGCGCCCCGCGCTCCTCCTCTCCCAACCCGCGCGTCCCCTCGCGGCCGGCGCCGTTAGGGTTAAAAGTTACCTCTCGGCTTCTTCTGCCTGCAGCCCCCCCCACCCACCCTCGGGGCCGGATGATGTAACCCCCCTCCCCGCGCCCTCCCCGCCCCCCTCCACCATGTGACACTTTAATTAATAATAGCGCCGTCAGCACAACAAACGCACAACACAAGGAGAAACTTGGTGTCCAGGGGAGGCCCCCGGCGACTGGAGCGCGGCGGAGGCAGGCGCAGAGGCCGGAGGGAGAGGAGGCGAGGGGCGACCGGACGCGGGGAGGGAGCGAGGCGAGCGGTCATGTGCCCGTGCCCCCTGCACCGCGGTCGCGGCCCCCCGGCCGTGTGCGCCTGCAGCGCCGGCCGCCTGGGTCTGCGCTCTTCCGCCGCGCAGCTCACGGCCGCCCGGCTCAAGGCGCTCGGCGACGAGCTGCACCAGCGCACCATGTGGCGGCGCCGCGCGCGAAGCCGGAGGGCGCCGGCGCCCGGCGCGCTCCCTACCTACTGGCCCTGGCTGTGCGCGGCCGCGCAGGTGGCGGCGCTGGCGGCCTGGCTGCTCGGCAGGCGGAACTTGTAGGAACGCGGGGCTTCTTGGTGGGGCCGGAGCCGAGACCCAGCCGGAGCGAGCAACAGGTACGCGAGCTAGCGCCAGGGCGCGGCGGCTGGGGACTGGAGACGTGAGGCTGGTTTGGGAGCCGGAGAGCCGCAAGTGTGCGGCTTCCCGTCTTCTCTGCTCCATTCTCTCGCAGGGATCTTCTTCCCCTTCTTAGGCAGTCCCCATCTCTCCTTCCACGTAGCAGGCCCACCGTTTCTGCCCCTTGTCTCCAACCCCCCTTAAGCGCATCCTGCCACTCCCTCCATCCAGGGGGCTTTGGGAGGACTTTAGCCTCCGTAAGTCCCACCAACCCTTCAAGGAAACACACGGCAAGTAGAAAAGTGTGCTTGCTCAGAGAACAGAGTTACAAGCCACGCCAAAGAATCATCATCTATCGCGCTTTCAAGACGAGTCCTCAGTCCTCTTCCTGCGGCCTGCCATTCCTAAGAGCCACCGTCTCCATCACCTCCGCCCCAAACTCTGTTCTCCTTCAGTGCCCCTTCTCCAGTTTCTTTCTTTTTTTTTTTTTTTTCCTTCTCCAGTTTCTGTAGCCCATCCTTCGGTGCCCAGAGCGGATCTCGCGACTTCCTCCCCCTCCAGGTTTCAGGCTGGCTCCGTCTTTCTCCCTAAAACTTTGCACTTTTCCTCCGCTCTGCCAACTTCTCTCCTTCTCCAGTGAGGTGTCCCATTCAAGGAGCTCGGCCTCCTCTTCCCCAAACGGAGGGGAGTTGAGATGAAGGCGACGTCCCCAAATGAACGGGAATCTGAGGCTCTTAGGGAAACTCCAAGGGAAGGCCTTAACGAAAGAGCATTCACTGAGCTCTTTCTGGTTGCTAGGCCTTGTTGTTGGAGGGAATGTTTGAGAGCCTGCGGTATTCTAGGCACTGGATGGTGATGGGGTGGGTAGTAAGTAGTGAGCGCCTAGCATGTTTGGTACCAGTAGAAGAAGGGTACTGAGCGTCTACTGTGCGCTAAGTCCTTGGTTTGGGGAATTACTGAGCATACGCCGTGCGCCTGGCACTGTTCTAGGCACTTGCGGGGAGACAGCAGGTCAGGACTGTCTTTTCAGGTTCTGGAATCCAGAGGAGAGCTGCAGAGAATGGGGGTGGAGAGAATCAGGCTGAGCCCACCACGGGTGGGTCTCGGGCCGGAAAGTGAGAAAGCCAGCCCCGAAGTCACGGCCCGCAGATGCCGAGCGCTCGGGTCGCGGCCGAGCCTCGCGGTGCGCCAACACCCTGGGAAGCTGGCGCGGCGTCTGCAGGAAGAGGCGGCAGCCGGAGCGTGGGGGGTGGCAACGCCCGGGGAGCTGCGGGGGTGCGCGGGGTGTGAGCCGGGAGCGCGGGCGACAGATGTCGCGTGGGCCGGCGCAGCCCCGGCGCTGGCGAAGAGAGGTGCGCGCTTCGGGGCGCCCTCTGCCCAGCTCCCGGAGGTCCCATCCGCTTCTCCCTCTGGCGAAAGAGACAGGGGGCTCCCCTCGGCTGCAGGGGGCCAGGCGGGGGCTGCGGGATCCTGGGAGCAGGAAAAAAATTTTGGATGGGGCACGGGGAGGCGGGGCAGAAAAAGAGGCCAAGAAAGAGACGCTAAGCCCAAAGTGTGTAATTTAGGGAAAGGCGGAAAGAAGGTGGGAGAGGAGGCAGAGACCGAAAAAAAAAAAAAAAAGAACAACAACAACAAAAAAAAAAACCCCACCAAAAAAGACAGAAACAAGAAAACGGCGGCGAGACGAGGAAGAAACTGGAGGAAAAGAGACTTCCTGGAGAACAAGACAGTGGGAACGTGGATAAGAAAGATGTGAAGCGAGAGGAACCCAGTGGAAATGGGGAGGAGGGTTAGGACATTGCTTCCTCCAGTCTTGGGGTCCAGGCGAGGTTCGAAAAGCGCTGCCTTCTCAGGACAGGACGGTGCGGGATGCTGGGCGTCCCACCCCCCGGGACGGAGAGCGCGCAGCCAGAGCCTGACTGTGTGTTCGCTTCGGGGCCGGGGGATGCTCCCGGGGTCCTCAGGAGAAGGTTGCCGCCGGGGAGGTGGCCCGAGACCTAAGCGAGGGCGCGCGGGGCGGACGTAGCGCGCCGCTCTGGGCTCGGGCGCGCGGGAGGACCCACGTCACCCGGCAGGGGGACGGAGAACAGTTTGGGAGGAGTTTCGCTGGGGCGGCGTCGGCTAAGCATCGTCGCCGCCGAGTTTATTTCCCCCTCCTCACTCTATTTCTGCCGCAGAGTCTCGTGCTGCGTCCCGACTCCAGGCCACCTCCTCAGCACATCCCTGAGTTCTCCTCCCGCCTGTGTGCCCCTGCCGGGCGTCCCCAGCAGTCACACCCCTCCAGAGTCCTTCCTTCTTGGGTGCCCTGACCCTAGGATGCCCGGCACCCTCTCAGATCGCCTGTAGAATGGTAGAGTGTATACCACTACCATCCCGGGGTTCGCTGCGCTGGGTCTTCCAGGCTTGGTTCCCTTACCAAGGACTTGGCTTCTCTCCCTGCTATCCACCACTCAGGCCTTTCTTGTGCTTTTGGCTTAACTGAGGGAAACCCATCTTTGGTTAACCTCTGGTACGTTAGGAAGAAGTGAAAGGAAATCCCCTGGGGAAAGTCAGTTTTTTGAGTTCTCTCTGTGGTCCTCTCCACATTTCCTACCCTGGAGGAGAAATGGAAATGCTCACAGGGTACCTTAGGGGTTTCAGGATGGCCTGAATCCGCCATCTACGGCAGACCATTCTCTTAGGCGTTAAAGGCAAGCTTAGCAATAGGTACCACAGCAGTTTCAACAAAGTGGTCCGGAGCCTCTACTGTGAGCCAGCAATACTTTTCTCAGAAGTCATCATTAAACAAACAGAGTCAACCTCTCCTCCAAGACTCAGTTTTCCCATATGTAATGTGGGGACAATAGCAGTACTTAAATGCATAGGTGTTGTCAAGAGGGTAAAATGAGGTCATATACAGAAAGCTCTAAAACAGCACTTTGTGCATCAAGAAGGGATTGTGCATTTAATACCTGTGTTTCACTTTGTGCATTTAATACCTTTCTTCCTGAAAATAGACAACATTTTGCCATTGTCCTTGCTGGTGGTTCTACACTATTCCTACTTGCCATTTTGGGGAATCAGGGCCACATGGGCCCAGATAGTATATTGGTGAAGAGCATGGGTTTAGGAATCAGATGAAACTGGATTTAAGTCCCAGCCCAAGAACTTTCTGGCAGTGTGACCTTGGGTAAGAACCATAACCTCTCTGAGCCTTTATCTGTAAACCTCAGCTGTATCTCCGTCAGAGTTGCTGGGAGGTCGATAGGAGGCCATCCATTTCAAATGCCCAGTGCAGTGCCTGACACTTAGTTCAATCCTTAGAGGATGCTATGAAATGGTTAAAGCCATTCTTATTGTTTCAAAGGGGAAACTGAGGCAGAGAAAGTCCACCTGAGTAATCCCAAAGGATCAGGGGCAAAGTCAGAGCTGACATTGGAGGGTCTGTCTTTGGGGGCCTTCATCCGGCCACCCTTCAGATGATTTGAGGGGCGCAGGGGATGAGAAGATACTGAGCAGCAAGCAGAGGGGGTGGTGAGCCTCAAATTCCTGCACTAGAGAGATTCCCTTTCTGAGAGAGCCTCAGGGGAGTGGGGGGGGGAGACTCCCTGGAGGCTGGGGAGGCCCGGAGGAGAATGGGTGTGTTTTAACCAGTCACTGCTCGAAAGATACAGGAGAGGGAACAAAAGATGCTTTATGGTAAGCGCTGGCTGGCGGAGGCGTGCGAAGAAGTGTGTGCCTTGGGAGGCGGAGGGGAGGGGAAAAGAAGGAGGAGGATTCTGGCAGGGGGAGGGGGCTAGGGTTGGGCAAAACCTTGCCTTAGGACTAAGGAGAAGTGGAGAAAGGGGGACTCTGCGCGCCCAAGAGGCGACGTGGTCAGCGGCAGGGAAGATAATGGGCCAGCAGGAGCCGGCTTTAATGAATTAATGACGGTTTGGCCTGCCCGCCAGACATGCTAACTGGTTCTTGGCAGGTACTTTGGGGATTAAGTGGTTAAACCTGGAGGCGCATCCTTCAGGCCTCCCTCCCAGACTGCTGCACCCCTGCCAGAATGACTTTTAGAGCTTGAAAGCCTTAGCGGGGAAGAGAGAAAGGGGGGGTACAGAAGAGAGAGAGACAGCTGTTGGGAAGGACCACCCCCACCCCCTAGGAAGGGGCCAGATGTGCAGGACTGTGGCAGCCCTCCTGCCACACGGTCCCTGTCTGGAGTCACTCGCTTGCCTGCTGAGAGGCCAGGGCACAAGTGACTGAGCTGTGGATGTAAACATAGCCACACCCGGGGATAATTAAATACCACCCCCAGATGTGGGCTGCGTGGATTTGGCACCCGCACCTCTGGTTTTTGAAACGTCAGCTTTTGAGACCTATGTTGGGAGTAGGGAGGATGCAGAATAGTGAGGGCTTCGGTTTCCCTTCTGGTCATCACTCTGTGTGGTAGGATTTCACCGGAGCAACGAGCTGTCCCACAGTGTCCCTAGCTCATGGCAACTTGCTTGTGGCATAGTAGATACAACGTAACTATGATGAATACAGTACATGAGTCATTCAAAAACTGTGTGAGATGAGTATTACTGTTTCCCAAATTCAGCTTCTTCCACTCATTCACCTATTAATTCTTGAGTTCCTGCTGTGTGCAGGGCATGATGGACACAGGCCAAGACATTAGAAGCCCCCGCCTCTCATGGAGCCTACATTTTAGGGGAAGAGTATAGGTGATAAATCACTAAAGATTGTTCTGGTTACAACTGCTGTGTAACCAATGACTCCAAAACTTAGTGGCTTAAAACAACTATTTGAGGGCCTTCCCAGGTGGTCCAGTGGTTAAGAATTTGCCTTACAATGCCTGGGATGCAGGTTCAATCCCTGGTCTGGGAAGATCCCACATGCCGGAGCAACTAAACCTGAGTGCCCCAACTAGAGAGTCCATGTGCCACAATGAAAGAGCCCACACAGCGCGATTGAGATCCTGTGTTCTGCAACTATGACCCGACACAGCCAAATAAATCTTTAAATAAATATTCTAAACTGTTATATATTTAAATAGATATTTAAATATTATATATTCTAAGGGTTAGAAATCCAAAGAAGGCATAGTCGGGGTGACTCATCTCTGTTCCAGGCTGACTGGGGGACTGGAGTCATGGGAGTGGGATCTTCATTTATATCAAGGTCTGGCTGTTGAAGCTGGGTGTCGGCTGGGACTGCCAATCAGAGCATTTATACTCAGTCTCCTCCTGTGACCTGGGCTTCCCCACAGCATGGCAGCCTCATGGTAGATGGATTCTGACCTGGTGTCTTAGAATTCCAAAGGCAGTCATCTCAGAGGGCCAAATGGAAGCTGCTTTGTCTTTTTTGACCCAGCTTCAGAAATCACTTTGGTCAAAGGACTTCCCTGGTGGTCCAATGCCTAACATTCCTCACTCCCAGTACAGGGGGCCCGGATTCCATCCCTGGTCAGGCAACTAGATCCCACATGCCTCAACTAAGACCCTATGCAGCCAAATAAATATTTTAAAAAGAAAGAAAGAAATCACTTTGGTCAAAAGCAAGTCACAAGTTGGCCTAGATTTAGGGGAGAGTGGAATTAGATCCCACCCCATGGGTGGCAAGGTTCTAGAATAGCAAATGGGAGAGAAGATATTGTGGCCATCTTTGGATTATGCAGTCTAAACACAGAATTTCAGAAAGTGCTGCAGGCTCTGAAGGTAACACACAAAGATAATATACAGGCAGGCCTTGGAGATCCTGTGGTTTGGTTCCAGACCACTGCAATAAGGCAAGTTATGAATTTTTTTGGTTTCCCAGTGCATATAAGAGTTACATTTACATTATACTGTAGTCTATTAAGTGTGCAGTAGGATTATATCTTTAAAAACAATGTACTCACCTCAATTAAAAAATACTTCATTGCTAAAAAATGCTGCTGACCATCATTTGAGCCTTCTATAAGTTGTAATCTTTTTGAAATAATCACATCAAAGATCACCGATCACAGATCACCCATAACAAATATAATAATGATGAAAGAGTTTGAAATATTGCAAGAATTACCCAAATGTGAGAGAGAGACATGAAGTGAGCAAATACTGTTGGAAAAATTACATCAATAGACTTGCTCAAAAAAAAAAAAAAATAGACTTGCTCAACACGGGGATGCCACAAACCTTCCATTTGTAAAAAACAAAGACAACTGTGAATACTCTGAGGTATGCCTGTCATAGAGGGAGCCTGGTGCATTCCTACCTGTAATGGATGGTGATGGCCACTCGAGGAGAAACAAGGGGCCAGTGACTTGAGTGATGAGAAGGAGCCAGCCATGTGGGTGTCTGGAAGAAAGATGTTCTGGGGAGATGACACTTTGCACTGTATGTCTGAGGAAGAGAAAAAGGAGCAGTGGGCTAAGACCACATGAACCAGTGGGAGAGGAAGTCAGATGGCAGGCAGGGGCTAGATCAGGCCATGGTAGAGAGGATAAGTTTTGCTATAAAGGGAGTCACAAGTGCCGACAGCACAGGAAGAGCTGCTTTATAAGTGGAGGATTCGATGTCATGCAAGAAAGAGAACTGGCCTTCCCTGGTTGCTCAGTGGTAAAGAATCTGCCTTCCAACGTAGGACACTCAGGTTTGATCCCTGTGTCGGGAAGATCCCCTGGAGAAGGAAGTGGCAACACACTCCAGTATTCTTGCCTGGGAAATCCCATGACCAGAGGAGCCTGGTGGGCTGCAGTCCATGGGATTGCAAAGAGTCGGACACAACTGAGCAACTGAGCCCACACGCAGACATCAATAGCGTGTGTATGTCAACCCCAGTCGTCCAATTCATCCCAGTCTGCCCTTTCCCCTTGGATAGCTATACATTTGTTCTCTACATCTGTGTTTCTATTTCTGCCTTGTAAATAAGACGGCCTATGCTAATTTTCTCAGACTCCTCATTTACCCATTAATATATGATGTTTGATTTTCTCTTTCTGACTTACTTCATGCTATAGGACAGTCTCTAGGTCAATCCATGTCTCTACCAATGAACCAGTTTCTTTCCTTTTTATAGTTGAGTAATATTCCCCTGTGTATATATATACATATATACACTTGTATGTATGTATAATGTATACATATACGTGTGTGTGTGTGTGTGTGTATAAACCACATCT